TTTTTCAATTTCTTTCGATTTCGCCCATCCCCCCCAATCCAAAAGTTGATCTTTTCGTTTTTTTTTTGTGGGGGGGGGGGGTGCCGGGGATGCGCCGCCACGTGGCGTCTCCCGTTTTTTTAAAGTCTCTCCCGCGCGGCCGCCACGTGGCTTCAAAGCCGCGCGTCCGTGCGGACGCGTCCACGGGGTCCACGGACTGGCCGCGTCCGCGGATTCGGCCGCAGATGGCCGCCACCGAGGGTGTTTCATAGGGATAGCCCCATTAGCCCTAATGAAGGTATGTCTCATATCAAACTTCACAAAATCCCGAATTGAAACCAACTCAAGGGCATCCCATCCCTCCTGCCTCCTTCCTTTCATCATCTTAGCCTCTTTCCCTTGTTTCTTCAACAGAACCCCCGTAACTTCCTTACCCCTCCAATAATCAATACTCCATTCAAGCGCATTCATAATAGAATCGTGGGGGAGGTTACAATACATCTCCTTAACATCGTATGCTGCAGTGAGCAAAGCATCCCCTTCCTCCATACTTCTGTTCACCAATCTGAGGGAGTCTGTCAGAAGATCGGAACTCTTCAAGTTAAAATGAGAAGATCTAGATAAGCTCCAAATCATTGCATTGATCGATCGAGAAATCTTCCGTCATCCTCTCACTCCACACTCTTTAACCGAGGGACAAATCAGTCGCCACCGAGATACATCCTTGTGTTTAGGAACAACATAGGACTTGCCTACCTCTCCCTTACCGTCCCATTTCGCCACCTTCCTCAGACCATTCGACTCATAAGTCATCTTAGCCCGTTTTAGCAATAACCCTTCATTGAGACCAACCGAACAGATACCCACATTGTTATGAAACAAATCATTCATTCCTTTCTGGTACAGCACAGTACAGCAGACAAATGTATCCCCAGGGATGTGATCGATCGGCACTCGCACCAGCCCATCGAACCTCTTAGCCCAAGAGGCAACATTCAACTCGGAACAGCTATTCAAGCAATCAACGGGATCAAAGCAACACGAGGCAACAGAACCCCGATTAAGATGAGGCACGAAAAAATCAAGGGTAGAGAGAGAGTCCAAGATCTGGTGCCTCAGCCGTCCAACCGTATCGAGACAGTCCGGAAATACCACATTCTTATTATTACGCAACCAGTCCGGGGCTGCCTCCCAAGAACTCAGCCGGAAGCTAACGTGGCCGTCAACAAGAGGAAATTTCCCAAAGAACGACGAGCACTTACATTCATTCTTAACAACCCTGGAAGCCTCCCGAAAATTGAAAATAAGATCCCCAACACACTTTTCTTTAACCAGACAATACGCATACGGCGGACAATCATCCGTCTCCATCCCTCGTCAGCCTCTGCCCTCATCACCAGTTTAGCACATAAAGAGCGGATCCCAGGCTTTTTGATCCCAGCGTTGTACGTAATGCGAACCACCAATCGCCTTCGGATGTTAACTCCGAAACGCCTCCGAATCACCCCTGACAAAATAAAACGCAGAAGATACCTAGACCTCTGAACCAAGAAAGGGAAGTCAAAGCCCGAAAGTTCCTTGCGGGAACTTGGATCAGCGAGATAGCCAGCCAGCGTTGGTTTCAAAATCACAGAGTGCGCAAGAAAGGGGACCACACTCATTATACGTATGAACTTCCCAGGGAGAAACATATACCTAGCCTTCTTTAACAGCTCATAGTTCCCTGAACAACAAATTATTGATGAACCAAAGTGACGTTTGACCAGCTTCCAACTATCAATCAAAACTTGACCCCCAACACAGACGATCCCCACAGAAGAGACCTTACGCTCAACACAACCATCCAGAATAGACAACAGACTATAAGAGATTACTCTAATAGTCGAGTGGAAAACGAGATGTGTTGCAGGAGCGAGAGTTACGGATGCAACCCCAGCATTGCGCTTCCTCCGAGCCCATTCCCTCTTCCCAAGTCTTCGACGCCTACATCGCTGTTTCCTGTCCCTGGAATTCAGATGAGGGCAGAAACGTCTAATCGCAAACTTCTCTCAATAACGAACCTCATCAGTGCCACGACAAAGAAGGGGAATGGCAACGTACTGACCTACCTGGCATCTCCTTAACCAACAATACAATCGATGGTTGCGCTTACCCAACTCGACAACCTTCAGATTAGCAGCACGGTACACGTGCTCCTTCCAACGAGCAGAAAGTGAGCGAGTAGTCGAGCCGACATAGCAGTGTTTAGACCAGGGCGAAACCAGGGCATAGACGAGCGGTCCAGGGCAAGCCTCAAAATCAAAGCCATCAATAAGCAATTTTAACAAATATTCCTTAAATTTTCCCGCCCAAGGAATCTGATCTCAAACGATAAGCCCTATCACCACCAGCCTAAAGAAACCATTATACTCGGCATCCCGAAGAAAGAAAGAAGAGCAATCTTGAGGAGAAGGAGCCTTAGAACAGAGAGAGGGGAGGTCAACCGCCGAAGTCCCTACTTCGCACCCACCTTGTCAGCACTCATCAGCAAAAGACCAAAGCGAGGACGCGTTCGGGAAAGGTTCCTATAGCTCCACCGACTTTCCCTCATCTTCCTCGGCATCACCGAAGCTTCTTGAAGCATCATCGCTTACCTCTTGAATGTTGCTAGTCCCTTTAGATGGGCCTGCAACGTCCCCAAAGGTTTTTCGATTACGAGCTTTAGCCAGGTCGCAAACGGTATCCTCGAACTTACCGAGCTTCACACCTTCCTCTTTATACAGCAGCTCCAACCCTGCTTTGCGAAGCATACGTAGTTGCCGCTTCTGTTCCTCGATAAACTCTGTGCGGTCATTGATCGAGGTAGCGACCTGCTTCAGAATAGGCTCCTTCTCAAGACGTGCCGCCGACGACGCGGCCCTAACACCCGTTCTTCCTGGCATCGCTTTGACTCCCTTTCGAGCCGACCGAAGCGCCGCCTCTTCAAGTCGCTCCTTAAGATTTGTGCCCCCAATATTTCCTTCGTTACCCTTCTCCCCGCTCACCATCAGCTTTTCCATCTTCTCCTCCAGCACCTTAACCTGGTTTTTCGCCTCCATCCTACGGGCTTCAACCTCAGCCCGCTTCTCCTTGAGCGCCTCTGCCTCGATATTAGCAAAACGATGTAAGCTCTGCAGATTGCGATACTCAGCCTTCCATTTCTCCCCTTCCCATACATTATCCGTCCAACGTGGTTTTGACGATCCACGATTTGTGACTTCCGGTGTCAGCAACACAACACTTCCCCGCTTATTCCCTGGCCGCAAGGCTTGCTCTCTCCACTGCCCAGCCTCAGAGACCACGCGCTCATTCTGATCACGTAGTAAGCTCACCTCCTTTCTCAAGCCTGTGATCTCTTGCTCAAAATTGGTCTTCATGAAGGCCGACTGCTTAAGCTCGCTGATCTCGGTCTTCAAGGCAGTGATCACATCCTTGTTGACTTGCTTATCACCAACCTTCCGACGCAGTTCCATGACCTCCTTCTGCAGATATAAGACGCGGTCTTCCCCAGCCGGGCACAACGCCTCACTTAATTTACGTTTCAGATCATCATTCTCCTTGCACAACCTCTGCCCCTCCTCATTAACAGCATCCCCCCCACTCGCATCTACCGACTTGCCTTTCATAATCCCTAAGGCGTCCAACCTTTTTTCCAATCGTTCTTCCATCGCCGCTTCAAACTTTTCCCGTTCAATTTTTCATGCCAACAATCTCTCCTCTTCTTCCTTCTTCGCCTTATCTCTAGCTTCCTCCTCCTTCCTCTTAGCTTCTCGTTCGGTGTCTTCGACGTACTTACCATAGACTTTGTCAAGCCTTTCTTGATTACGAGCCCACCAATTTGGGCGAGCCTGTTGAGGTTGTTGGCCATTCCCAGAGCCCGTTTTTTTTTTTTTTTTTTTTTTTTTTTTTTTTTTTTTTTTTTTTTTTTTTTTTTTTTTTAAATGGGCCCAGTGCCCAAGGCTGATATTCCAGTCAAATTCCATCGAGGCCGGGGACATCACAATCTGCCCGGATGAGACAAAGTCTGGGAGCCTTACCCAGTTTCGCTTTTTACGAGTCCCAGAGGGACCCGGAAGGTACAGCAAACATGTGAAGACATTATGAGAAAAATATCTTCCTCTTCAGCTTTGAAAAGTCGCCAGATTTAGCTATGAGAAAAATATCTGCCTCCTCAGCTTTGAAAAGCTGCCAGATTTAGCCTGATCTATCAAGCAGCAAACATCAACAAACATTACTAAATTACAGTGTCTCCACCAATGCTAGATGTGATGGGGGAAATGGATCTGCAAAGTCCCTGGGGTCCCTGAGAGAATCTCCTGGAGACAATGAAAACCAGTTCTTGAAACAGAGGTGGAAGTCCCTTTTAAAGGGGATGTACATCCCTTCTCCCCCTGGCCACTTCACTTCTCCCAGACTCCTCTCTCCTGCACCCCCCAGCCAGTCCAAGACAAATTCCTGAATTAAAAGTTGAATATCCTTCTTTCTTTGTGCTTTATATAATTTAGAGTTCAGCTTTTCCCAATGAGCTCTGATTTCCGTTTGTATAAACTGAACAATATAATCCGAAATTTTAGATCCTTCTAATATTACATTTTCCCTTTCTAGCACACATCTTTTGTACCATAGGACCCAAATCACTGCTTTCCTCCCAATTTCAAAAAGCTTTGATTGAAAAGTTGTAAGTGTGATATTTTGTGGAACCCAATGACCTATCAAAATAGCTTTCCAGTTCCAAGGCCACTCCAACCCAGTAAGTTCCCTCCAAACATAGTCCCATCTTCTCCATAATAAGACCGAACCAAGGCATTGCATAAAGATGTGTTCTATAGTTTCCCTACATTTTTTGGTAGGAAAATTTGAAACACATGATTTGCACCAAGGTAAGGCTAAACCCTTCTGTTCTAATGAAGAATGGTCAATAATCCAGTCATTTGTGGGCAGACAACGGTAAGCAATCTGCCCCTGCAGCGATGAAAATTTAGCTGGACGCTGTCTGATATTTTTAAAGAGTTTTATATTTTTAATTGTGTTTATATCCAGATCTAGGTGTCTGGCCCATCTCTCCCAGAGCATTGTCGATATATCCACTCTTGGTCTCATTAAACGATATACCGCTTTTACCGACAGTGTTTGTCCTTTTTTAGTGGTTTTCGAGACTCATTCCTCAGGATCAATTGGAAGGTCCGGAATTAGTGTTTCCGGATGAAACGCCCTCCAACCTTTAATTAAGGAGATGAAAAGGACCCTAATTCGATACATATGTGATGATGGGAAAAAACAGATTGGATCTGATGGAGAGTGAGTAAAGAAAAATTCTCTATTTGTTTTGCTCAGGCTCAAGAAAACTCCCTGTTGAGTCGCATTGACCACCTGTCCTAATGCCTTATCTCCATTAGTCTGGACCTCTACCACCCAGTCTCCATCCTTGAACTTGGGCCCTCTTTTGAGGGCTGCAACCCATGTTAAGGGTATAGAGAATATAATTTGGTCCAGACTTGTATTGAGACGATGAGCATAACGGAGATGTTGCCTCAATTATTCCCCTGATTTCCAATCTTTCTTCTCTGAATCCCATATGTCCTTGATGCGTGTAATTCCCTTCTTAACCCATTGACACCATGGTGGGAAGGAACTTTTAAAAATACATCCATTTAAGTCTGTTATCCATCTATTACCAAAAATTGGTTGGCGGAGGATTTCCTCATATCTGGTCGGAAAAGGTCTATCTGGTAATGGTAGACGTCTCCATATTCTTATCAGAGTTACCCAAAGATTGTCTAGGATCAAATCCCTCTTTGCTTCCTCTCTTTCCCCTTCTTTATTACCCCCTACCTTAGCCCTGAGGATTGTCCAACAACGATCTTCAATCTATGAGAGCAAGTGTATGTCCTCGCTTGAGAGTGGAGCTAGTCTACGAATCTATTCGAGAGCCATTACCTGCCATGGTTTATCATTAGATAAGATTATTTTTTTTATCCATTGTATTGCAAGGGCTTGGTACAGCAGATTGGGATCCAGAATCCCTAGACCCCCCTTTGATTTGGGTTGAATTAAATAACGCCAGGTTACTCTAGGAATTACCTTCTCCTGTTCATGATTCCCCCTCCATAGAAACGTTGTAACCTGCTTCTGTAGGAGTTTAGTACTTGTATTACTTATCGACCATAGTGCTGATTTATACCATATAGATGCTAGAACAACATTATTGATGATCAGTGTTCGTCCAAAAATGGAAGTGTGTTTATTCTTCCACTGATTTATCTTGTTAATTGTCGGGCTTGACACCCATTCATCATGAGACATGGGTTTCCCGACTGCCGTAAGGGACACGCCAAGAATACGAACTGGAGCTTCAAGTGATAACCATCTTACTCTAGGATGTTCCGGGGGCCTATCCCCAGTGGATGAATCCACCACCCTTGAGTTTTGTTGCCCCAATTGACCACCATATCCGATACCTGTGAGAATTTATCCATCAAGGTCTGTATTTCTACCATATTTTCATTTGTGGCATCCACCATTACCGTAAGGTCATCTGCAAACATATAACAGACTGGGATAGCCTCCTCTGGTATGCCTGAGATGCGCAACCGCTTTAAATTACAATTAGCCCTTAGGTTAACCCCTAGTGCTTCCATTATAATCACAAAAAGGAAAGGCGCCAGGGGATCTCCTTGCCTTACCGACCTTTGTAGCTTGATTTCTGGAGAAAGAAGACCATTTACTTGAATTCTAGTCGTAGCATTTGTATGAAGAATACGAATCCATTTTCGAAAATTTGAACCAAAATTCATTTTTTGTAAACAAGCTTCCAAAAAATGTCAGTCTACATAGTCATAAGCTTTTTCGAAATCTATAAAAATGAAAGTTGCATTATTTTTGGACTGTCTAGATAGTTTAACCATCTCATTAATAAGCAAGATATTATCTTGAATATGTCTACCATTAATAAAGTCCGTTTGCGAAGGATGAATGATGTCAGCCATTACTAGAATCAAACGATTAGCTGACGCTTTAGCTAACATTTTATATACAACAGACAACAACGTGATTGGTCTGTAGTTCCTGATGTTTGTTTTGTCTCCTTTTTTATGCAGGAGAGTAAGAATGTCTTGACCTACGAATTCCCCCATCCTACCTGATTCTTGTATTGACTCGTAAAACTCCATCAGATCTGATGCGAAGACTGGCCACATGGTTTTCCAAAATTCTTTTGGGAGTCCATCTACTCTTGGAGTTTTGTCCTCATTCATTTGTAGAAGTGTTGTCCATATTTCGTCCTGACTTAAGGATCTCTCCAAGTTATCCTTTTGTTCCTGAGACAGAGCCTATGTCAAGGGTTGTAGGAAATTGGCTATTGCCATATTATCTTCCCTTCTCAATTCCGAATCCTTGGAGGATGAATTTTTTTTTTTTTTTAATCATAAGCTATCTTAAGACTACCTGCCGAAGTGGTCGTCATGCCAGGATTTGTCCCCCCTGGATCCAAAAAATCTTCAATAAAGGAACGTCGAGATCGTGATCGAGCTATTACAAAAAATGAAGCATTCATTTGACCTTCTGTCACAAATTTTGATAGTTTTCCCCTGATTAAATGTCCTTGCCAACGATGTTGTGCAAAGGAAAGCAGTTGATTCTTAAGTTCCTGAATATCGATTGGATGGGATTGATTATCAGGTTGATTAGTCAGTTCATAATTTAGACTTTGTTCTTGAATATTTAATTCATTTAAATATTTGTTTTTGGCTTGAAGTTTCGAAAATTCATTGCACTTTTTGGCTATGAACACTAGATCATTGTTAAACCATTCTTCATACGAATTTTGTCTATTCCTGGTGGTATGCCAAAATTCCGAAACATCTTTTATATATTGTTTGAACTGTCCTTGTTTTAACAAAGATGTATTGAGTTAGTAAAAACCCCTCCCCTGATCCGGTTTCTTTTTAAAGGTCAGAAGGGCTACACGTGTTTGGGTTAAGGCTAGTGAACTGGGACAGGAGTTCGGCATTTCTAGGAAACTAATGCCTCAGTACTTCGGGTCCTGGAAAGTCCTGGATATTGTGGGTAGTGAAATGGATGGTCCCTCGAATGTTATCCGTATCTCTGGTCACTTACGCACACATTTTGTGATCCGCCCCTGGCCATGGACTTTGGGAAAAAATAGCTGCCCATAATAGAGCCCTATCTAAATCTTGTGACATCATAATCAAATCTATTATAGAGCGGGACTGAAGTGGTGATCTAGTATTACGAATACATGTGAATAAACGCTCCTGCGGAAAAATTCTTCGATGTGTATCAAATAGATATTCCCCTTCACATAATGAGTTTATTATTATTTCATCCACTTCTACATATGCTGGACAGGGGGAGGCTAATTTCCAGCGATCCATCCACCTATCAAGGGCCGCATTAAAATTTTCAGTCATGATAACCGGAATTTCGTCCGGGATTTGAGTTCTGATTTTCTGAAAAAAATTAACCCTTTCCTGGACATCATTGGAGCCATATACATTAATCACACAAATTATTTCCAGATCAATTATAATCATTGTAGAAATCCACCTACCATGATTTTTATCTGATGTCCATTGTATGATTTCTGCCTTTGAGTCCGGTGGGATCCATATCGCCACCCCTCCTAAACCACTCCTTAGGGCCGGTGAATGAAATTTAGTATGCGGCCAGACTAAATTATGTGCTCTCGTATGTATATGAGAGTCCGTAAGGTGAGTTTCTTGTATGCAAATTAGATCTGAC